TCGCTGGGCCGGGCGGCGGCCCCGGGGCAGCACGGTGAGCCCGGGACACCCTCGAGGTGGCGGCTGCTGAGGGACACGTGGATGGAGGCAGAAGATCTTCTGGGCAGGGACACCAGCGGGGCTGGTCCCGCCCCGCGGCAGCTCCTTTGTGCTGCCCTTGCTGACGGGCTGGGAAGTGCTTTCTTGCCTTCCTCATTCCTGCCTGCACGTCTCGGAGGGGTCGGTCACTGCTCTGCCTGGAGAGGAGAAGCACAGAGAGCCCTTCATGTCCCATCTGCCCTTTGCAACAGCCCAAGCAGAGCCCTGGGGCAGAGCTGGTAGCTCCTCACTCGGCTTTGCTGCTTCCTGCAAGTCGTGTCTCAGGGGCAGGTGATGAGCTTTGAACTCTTCTGTCTGCAGCAGCAGATGGCACTGGAGGAGAGCAGAACCAAGCAGGGCACCTCTCCTGCTGCCAGCACCAGCCAGGTGCCCCAGGCCACACCGCTGCCTTCCTCGGAGCACCTGGGCTGCCCAGTCTCCTGACTCCATCCTCAGGGAGGCCTTGGGGAGTGTGTGCTGGCACAGGGGCTGTTTGCTGTGCATCCTGGAGTGGAGCTGCAGAAATGCCCTCTGTCCCCTCTGCCCGAGGCCTTTTCAGCTCCTTGTCGGCCGAGAGGGACCCGTGGAATCTGAGGTGCCAGACCTGGAGCTCTGCACAGGAGAGGTTGATGCCCACCTGCAGAAAGGGAGCAGCAGCTTGTTCCTCTGGCCACCAGCACCACAGACCTGCCAGCAGAGGCCATGGTGGTGGCCACACCAGAGTCCCAGAGAGGGACTGAAGGAGGTCCCTGAGGAGGCACCACAGCAGCCGTGATGGGGCCCCAAAGAAGGGCCAAAGCTGGTTCCTGGGGCAGCACTTTGCTGCCTGCACCACAGCCCAGAGAGGGATGGACTGAATCAGATCCACGAGGTGGCACCTCAGTGGCCTCTCTCACCACACCTGGAGCTCAGACTCCTTGAGGACATGGCAGCAGAGAAGGGCTTGGAGTGCTGCTTGCCACAAGGGCCAAGCTCCTCTGTCCCAGCAGGACACCAGGCCTCCTCCAGGAACGGGGTGGGATTCCTCTGGGGAACAGAGCACTGCAAGGACCTGATCCCCTGCCAGGGAGGGCAGTGCAGCACTTGCTCCAGAGGCAGGTTCCTGAGGTGACACCATGGGGCTCATACCATGGCCCTAGAGAGGGGCTGATCCTGCAGCCTTGCTGGGCTCATGGTCTGGTAGCTCCTGGGGAACCACAGACTCAAGAAGATGGGAAGGGAGCTCTGAAAATCATCTAGTCCAAGCCCAGGCAGAGCAGGGGCTGCCCAGGGCTGCTCCAGTCAGGCTCTGATGAAGGACAGAGCCTCCAGACCCCTCTGGGCAGCCTCTGCCAGGCCTTGACCTCCCTCCAAATAAACTTATGTTAGGGTCAGTGAGAGGCTCCTTTATGTCTGTTGGTGCCCGTTGATGTGTCTGAGGAACTCTGGTAGGTCTTTGGAAATGGCCTAGGCCCCTGGTTGTGCCTTGGTCGTCCTCACCAGCCCCCATCATCCTCACCTTTATCTGCTGCCCCCAGACCCATCCCATAGCTCTGTGGAGCAGGGAAGGAGCTGAGGGGCTCCCACCCTCCCCCCCAGCTCTTCACCTCTCAGCTCTCTAGGCTTCTGCACCTGAAACCCCTTTGTTCAGGCTGTTGTACTTTCCCTCACATTATTTTCAGAGAGGAATTGCCAGGAGGAGCTGGTACCCCTTAAACCTTAGGATTTCAGCAGAGCTGTTGCTTGGCACAGCAACAGATCTCCACACAAACCCCAGGTGGGGGGTGTTGCTGTTCATCGCTGGAAGCTGGTAGAGCCACTCCTAGGCTCCCTGGAGTTTTTCTCCCCCAGAAACCTGCTTCCAATAAACCTGGAGTTGCCCCAGCTCCCCCACTGTCCTCGAAGTCGGGGTCTTGCTGCTAAAGGCTGTCCTGGGGGAGCCCCCCCAGCCCCAGCAGCGTGTGGCACAGGGGTGTCCGTGCACAGGGCCGAGCTGCCCTAGCTGGCTGTGCCTCTAGATCCTTTCTTCTTCCCATGCAGAACATCCCATCTGGCATGAGCTGCTGTTTGTTTCTCTCCCGTTCTGGAAAATCCACTCTCTGGCCCAGGCAGCAGCTCTGAGGGTGGTGCCAGGGACCTGGAAGTGCTGGATGTGCCCACCTAAACACACACAAGTGCTTCACTGGGAAAACCCTGGGAAGACAGAGGTCAGCATTCTGCATGGAGGTACCTTTGTGCCAAAGCTGTATTTCTGCTGCTGGAGAATAATAAAAAGATCCAAACCATTTCTGCCCAAATAAAAATACCCCCCCCAAAAAAAAAAAACAAAACAAAAAAACCACAACAAAAAACCAACCACAACCACCAAAACACAAAACCCAAACAGCAGACAAAACCCCACAGAAACAAAGGCTCTTGGAAAAGTGCAAATAGGCTGACACAGTCTGAAGGCAGAGGCAGTGCTGCTCTGGAAGAGGTCACCTGCCCAAAGGCTGGGGCAGTGGGTGAGCTCAGGAGGTCTTGACAAAAACTGGCACCTCTGTGAGACCAGCAGAGTAATTCCTGAGGATGGTGCCTCCGTCAAACAGGCGGGCAGTGCTGGTGTCCCTCCACAGGTGTCCTGCTCCAGGCAGGTAGATATCTCTCCACGTGTGTCCTCTCTCTGTGACTGGGGCCACCAGGACCTGCAGGGAGAAGAAGAAAGGACAGAGCAGTGTAGCAGGTAGAGCCAAGCACAGGGGATCCCTGAGGAGCAAGTCTGGCTCCTGGCTGCCAGCAGGAACATCCAGGCAGCAGGGACCAAAGCTGGGGAGGACAAGGCTTCTGGAATGGCAGGGAGAATTCCTTTCTGTTAGATCAAGACACAAGCTCCTGCTGAGCTTTGCTTTTGGCTTTGGGATGTATTTTGGGGTGGCAATGCCACCATGATTAGCAGCCAGCCCCCTGGCTGAGCACGTTGCTGCAAAACCAATGCAATAGGATGAGCTGAGGGTCATGTTTTAATGAAAAAAATAACCAAAACCAACTGTAGGAACTGTCAAAATCTTAGAGCTGCTGGATCCTGCTTCCAGGCAAAGCAGGAGGGACAAAGGTAAAGCGATGCTGCTGCACAAAATAAAAAGCCTTCTTACAAAAATGGGAGGCTGTGGCACAACTTTCTTCCAGAACTGTCCTCTACAGGAGGCCTGAACTGCCTTTCCACGAGTTCTGATTTAAAGCAGCCACAGATCCCACCAAACACGGCACCATCTCAGTGCTAGATGGAGACCTCCTGGGATCAGGGGGCACCTCTGCAGGGAAGGCAACAGCAGCAGCTTCCCCCGCTGCACGAGCCACCACCAACGTGTGGGAACACGGGATGTGCAAGGAAAACTCACTGAATCTCCCTACTTTGCTCCCCGTTACCCTCTGGGGGGGTCCAGCCCCCCCCCCCCCCCCGGTTGCAAGAGTCCTGTTTCTCATACTGATCAGCTGTAGGTGGCTCAGCTCTGAGGGGGTTTGGATTACATTTTAATCTATTGGCTGATGTGTATTATATTGAGAATACTGAGCTTGGGATCCTGGATTCCACAGGAGACAGTTCCCAATGCATGTGTATAATTGTTAATTAACGCTCATCCCACTTGCTGTTGTAACTGAGTAAATAGCAACAGTTCCTTGTGACATTTGTCATTTAGAATTAGTGGCAATAATTGTGGGAAATATTAGTAGGCTGATTGGATGTGGGTGGAAGACCTGGGGGTTGGGATTCCCAGAGCAACTGAAGTGGACCCTTAGTTCCTGGGCAGCTTCAATGGGAGTTGAGTACCAGTGTCATTTGGATAAGTCCCAGTTGTTATTCAGGGCTTTAATCATCCCAAAGACTTTAACAAGCAGGGATGCTGACTAGGTACTGTAAACATGGGGAAGAGCAAAGCAGCCCTCATAGAATCATGGAATGATCTGGGTTGGAAGGGACCTTAAAGCCCATCCAGTTCCAACCCCCTGCATGGGCAGGGACACCTCCCAGCAGCCCAGGCTGCTCCAAGCCCCATCCAACCTGCCCTTCAACACTGCCAGGGATGGGGCAGCCACAGCTTCCCTGGGCAGCCTGGGCCAGGCTCTCACCAGCCTCACAGGGAAGAGTTTACTTCCAATATCTCCCCTCAATCTCCCCTCTTTCAGCTTAAAACCCTTCCCCCCCTTGTCCTCTCCCTCCCTGCCCTTGTCCCAAGCCCCTCCCCAGCTTTCCTGGAGCCCCTTCAGGCACTGGAAGCTGCTCTCAGGTCTCCCTGGAGCCTTCTCTTCCCCAGGCTGAACACCCCAGCTCTCCCAGCCTGGCTCCAGAGCTGCTCCAGCCTTCAGATCATCTCCGTGACCTCCTCTGGGCTTGCTCCAAGAGTTCCAAGGGGCATAGTGTCCTCCTCTGCAGGGCACGGGGACATACCCAGGTGTCACAGCAGACCCAGGGGGGGGTGCTGAAGGCCATCACGGGCAGGAACGTCACGATCTGCAGCCACCGCACGTACAGCTCCGGGTCCCCCGGGGTGTCCCCAGCCAGACTCCCTCCTGCCAGGGACAAAGAGCTGAGTGAAGCTGCTTGGGGGCATCTCATCGTGGAATGAGTCCCAAGTGACCTGCTCTCCCTGCAGCCAGAAGTTGTTACCCCATGGCAAAAGGAGCTGGATTCTCCCCACCCATGCAGTTCTTCCTTGAGCCCCATCAGATGCCACCAGACACCCATCCCTGGCTGGTTTAGGACCAGACATGCTGGGGATGATGTCTCAGGAGTTTCTGAACTGTAGCAGAAATACTACAAAAGGTGATTTCCTGCCAAGAAGAGTTTTGGGAAAGTGCTGAGCTTCCCTGCCACTTTGATGTGCAAAGATGAAGCACGATGGGAATGAACTCTTGTAGTTTGGATCCTTTCAAATTCATAGTGGAAAGTGGTGGGAAAGCAGGGGATAGATAACGGTGTAAACAGAAAGATGTAGTGGAAGGGGATCCCAGTTCCCCTCTGAAGCACCGGAGAGGGGCTTGGGAAGGATGGGAGAGGGTGGGATGGGACAGGGAAAGGGAACTGAAGCCCTTGGGGCTGGAGTGTTCCAGGAGCTGTCACTCTGAGAGCCTGGTGCAGCTTCCCCTAGAAACAGCACAACCCCCTCAGTGCTGAGGGCTCATCCAGAGCCCCCACTGAGCCCCGTTTCTTCCAGAGGCTCTTCCCACCTGAGTGGCCCCTGTGCCCTCGTGCAGCTCCCGACGGGCCACACACCCAGCAGCCCATGGGCACCTCTCTGGGGAGGGGGCTGGGGCAGCACTGCCTCAGCCTCCTTTCCTAGGGAGGGCTGGCTAAAAAGAGAGGCCACACTGAGAAACTGCTCAGCAGCCTCCACGTGTTGGGGACACGCTTTAAACACAGCTCAGCCCCCATTAAAGGGTCATTTCTCAGCTCCCCAGTGAAGCAGCTCTGCAAAGGGCAGTCCCACAGCCCCGGCTGCTTCTGGGGCTGCCCAGGAACATTTACAACACGTCTCCTTGTTTTCAGTTCCTCGGTCAATTCCCTAGTAACATTCAACCCAATCAAGTCAGCCTGGTGGAAAGTTGGGTACCAGGAACCAAGTCCTTCAAGCACCCATAGAGCCCTCCCAAGGCAGGGGGTGCAAACACCCCGAGCAGCCTCTGCAGAAAAGCCAGGGGGAAGGGAAGTGGGAATGAAATCCTCACCTACTGCATCGGGGATGAAGAAGTTGTAGCCCAGGAGGCTGTAGTGCAGCACGGAAGGGATCAGCCCCTTCAGCCCCGCGTGGCTCCAGTCCGAGCGCAGGGGGCTCATCTGGATGAAGAGTGGGAGGTGGCTGGACCTGGGGACAAACACCCCCCAGGCTGTCACGGGGCTGCTGGCAGCCCCAGCTCCTGCTGCCAGGGACAGGGACAGGCTCCTCCAACCACTTGGCATCCCTGTTGGAGGGAAACCAGTGCTCCCAGAACCACTCCCACCGCCGTGCCTGCCAGATCTGGTAACTCCAGACCTCCTCCTTCTCCCTAAATCCCTGATTCAGACTTTCCTTCTCCTGGCTTGGCCTCACGAGGACCATGGCTTGGCAGCCCACCTTGATGGCAGCTCAGCCATGCTCTGGGCTGCAGCCCTGCTCTCCCTCCTTCTCACGTGGCAGCACCAACCCTGGTGGGAAGATGCTCAGAAAAAAACCATACCCAGGACACCAGCTGGGGTGTCATTTTTTTTCCTCCAGCAACATTTCTATGCCTCAGGTTTCCCTGGATGGTGCAGAGGTGCTGTCATCAAGCAGCCCAGTGCAGGGGACAGTGTTTCTGGTGGCCATAAAGGGTTAAATCTAGGCCTTCATGATGAGATTTGGCTTGAAAAATGGTCTGGAGCTCATCTAGCCAAGGGGTGGGGCTGGTCTGAGTCTGCTTGCCCCTAGAGCTTGGCTGCCTCCTCACCCCAACTGGGTGCTGACTCCCCAAAGGTCTCCCAGGGACACTTTCATCTCAGGAGGTGGGGAGGCTGACGTGGTGGTTTATGAAACACTCCTGGCCTGGAAACTGCCCAGCAGGAAAGGGACGATCCTAGATGGTTAGAAAAAGTGCTGTTCCCTGGTTTTGCAGACAGCTCAGGAAGAGCCCATCACTGCCCTGCCACCTGCAGCTCTGCCTTGCCTTCGGAAATGAGCTATTCAGAAGTTGTTAGAAGTTGCCTCCTCGTGCAATTTGCCATCAGTGCCTCATTCACACCACGGAACAAGAGGTTTTGCATCAGCCTGCAGGGCCCTTGGCAGCTGCCAAGCCTCAAAAGAATGGGGAAAAAAAGAAAATTCAGTGGGGTTTTTTGTGCCTTTGGGTGAAGGGTCTCCAGGCAGGTCCCAGCTGCTGAGAACACGTTCACCCTGCTGGGGACCGTGTGAACATGAGGAGTCAGAAAACTGCAGCTGTTTGACTCCACAAGCAAATAGCAGCGTGGGGGTTTGGCCAAGGCTCTGGGGCTCACCCTGTCCCTCCTGCAGCAGAAGCAGGGACCTGGTGCTTGACCAGCCATAAATGACAAGATGCATTTTTATTGCATCTGGTATTAACACATGTAAGTGCTTTTATGTTCTGAGATGTTAAAAATCATTAAAACTCTCCAGGAAAGCAAGGAAGAGAGGGTGTGAGAATGACCCCTCCCTGGTTATTGCCTTAGACCTCCTCCCTGCTGGCCCCCTGGGTGCTGAGCAGCCTCTGGGCACCCCAAGGGCACATTTAAGCATCACCTTGCCCCTCTCCCAAGGTGCCACCAGCTCCAGCAAAGCAGCTCCCCCCTCGGTACCCACCTGGTACCAGCACTGATGACAGTGGCATTTCCCAGCGTGGCAAGTGCTGCTGCCAGCACCTGGGTGTACCGATCACCCTGCAGCTCAGCAGGAGGTGGCAGAGCCTGCTCCAGGAAGGTGTTCCCCTCAGCACCCTCGAAGACCACATAGGTGGCTCCCAGCTGCTGCTGCAGGCGCTGGGCACGTGCCAGGTACCAGCTCAGGGCCTCCTCACTGGTGACGTTCAGCCGGGCACAGAGCTGCCCCTTCCACATGGTCAGCAGTGGGACCTGGGGCAGAGGAGGGGGGGGGGAAATGCCCATCAGACCCTGGAAATGTCCCAGGAGCCCCCGTGTGAGGTGGGAGGGTGCCAGCCCTGCCCTCCTCCTGGCGCTGTCCCAGTGCAACCCATACAGGTGTGAACCCCCTTCCACCCCCCCTCCAAAAGGATAAATAATCCCTGAGCTGGTGGCAAACTGGCCAATCATGCACACGGCTGCCCAAGCTGCTGAACAGGGTGAGGGGGAGTGGGTTTAACCTGGGAGAGGGGAGATTTAGGTTAGACATGGAAGAAATTCTTTGCTGTGAGGGTGGGGAGAGCCTGGCCCAGGCTGCCCAGGGAAGCTGTGGCTGCCCCATCCCTGGCAGTGTTGAAGGGCAGGTTGGATGGGGCTTGGAGCAGCCTGGGCTGGTGGGAGGTGTCCCTGCCCGTGCAGGGGGTGGGACTGGATGGGCTTTAAAGTCTCTCCAACCCAAACCAGTCTGGGATTCTAAGGAAAAAGGGAACTGGGGGGATTTTTCTGAACATTAGCAACTATAAAAAAACCCAAACAAACCAACCCACAGCTACGTATTTTGGCAGTGGGAATTCAAAAGCTGCTTCCTTTTGCAACAGAAGAGAAGCAGCTGCTCCCCGGGACGTGGCTCTGCCCCCAGCACAGGGGGGCCGGCTTGTCCCCCTCTGCAGGTGTTTATCCAGCTCCCATTCCGATTTTTTGGGTGGAGGGGGGGGAGGAGGGTCCCGTACCGAGCAGCCCCCGGGGCAGGGCTGGAGGCTGAGCCAGGAACCGGCCCGCCCGGCCCGCAGGGAGCGCAGG